GTTGGCTTTTGAACTTTTTCTTGCTGGGCGATTGTGGATGTTTCTATTCCATACTCTGTCGTTTACTCTCCGGCTCGCAATGATGGATCCACGTTTCGTCACCAGTGATGATTCTGTCTAAGAAGACGTCACGTTCGTTACCATAGCGATCCAAATGTTGTTGGCAGATGTCCAAGCGCGTTTGTTTATGCAACACTGTGTGTTGTTTTGGGACCCACCTTGCACAGACTTTATGAAACCCAAGTCTGTTGTGGATGATTTCGTAGGCAGAACCTTGACTAATTTGCAGACGATTTGCCACTTCATCAATAGTCACTCGTCTGTCTAACAGAACCATGTCACGTGCACGCTCAATGTTGTCCTCATTTATGACCGTGGATGGTCGTCCGGCTCCTTCCTCACGCGTATCACTTGTGCGAACATTTTTGAATTTTTAAATCCATTCGTAGACACTCCGTTGCGGCAAAACACTGTTCCCGTATTTTCCTGAAAGTCTTTGATGGATTGCGGCCCCTGATACACCTTCCGACCACAAAAACCGGATCACTGAACGTTGCTCTTCTTTGGTGCAAACAGAAAGCGGAGCAGCCATGATTAACGGCAAGGCAGCGACGATGGAACTGACCTAGCAACATCAAACCTACGCAGAAATACTGACAAGGAAACCATGCATGGCGATGCTGCGCAAAACGACAGTGCTGCCAACAGAAACACAAATACAACTGCATTGCGGATAATTATTGACTTCCCCTCGTATTTAGATGCCTCTCATAATGTGAAGTCATGGCTTATTCGCCTTGTGCCTGAGTCCGACACTGCATATCAGTTGGTGTATCATATTTAAAATGTGTGTATAAACGTTTTTATCTCTGACATTGAAGCCATGTTCTAGGAATGAAGTATTGGATCAAAAGAAGACTCGAGTCATGTGAAGCTGTGCCTGAGAGTTCGAGCTGTTAGCAAATAACAGGACCCCCGTATTTAATTATCATGTCAATGAAAATAGGTTCTTCATAGCTGCCAACTTATGAGCAACAATTTAAATTATTATAACAGATAATCTGATTGGCTGGTAAGTTGTAAAATTAAATTGTATCCACCGCATGGTACAAAAGCTTCTTGAACACTTGGTAATCGTTCATCTTGCCAAGAAAAGTTCCGTTTTTATGGAACCCGAAGATCCGTGATCGTGCTGATAAAAGCACATCACTGAACTTTATCCTGAGCCATTTGATTCAGGTCACTTTGTATCTTTTAAGGCAACTATCGTCAACATTGTTTTTGGTGACATCTTTGAGAAGCTTATCTTTATAGCGGGGATATGCATGAATGTGTACAAGAATATGGGGATTGAAATAATGAGATTATGAATAGCTTTGCACCTTATGTTCTCAGGTAAAAATAAAAAAGTAAAGATAACCCTGTAACAGGCCGTGAAGGCCCATAGGGTGTGAGAAGTCGAGGCTCCCACATTTTCTAGACTATCGGCTTATAGATGGCGGTGAGGTTTTCAGCCTTACGCGCCAGCCACCCTTTCTCCCCCAGGAATATTCCTGGTACTTATTTCTGTCAGCGTCTGAGTCGACTCCAGGTCCACAATACGGCTGGAAGGGTCAGATCAATTGAAAAATACATTAACCTCATGGGGATTCGAACCCGTGACCTTTTGACTTGTAGCATAGTGCCTCAACCAACTACGCTACTGCGTTCTCAGGACATTCTCCAAAACATTGTTTGGGAAAATCTGTCGTACAGGAGTTGTGGATAATTTCACTTTTCTTTGAAAATGCCACTGTTATTTACATCGAGACCCTTCAGTTAATGTTGCTCTGGAATACACTCTTAAATATTTAGAATACCTCAGCTCCCAACAGAAATACGATTCATAAAATAGATATCACCAAACGTTTTGTTAACATCAGTGAATAAATGAGAAATTATGAATATTGTACGTGTATTTTAAAATTCTCGTGGACGCCCAGAAACTCTTGCAAGCTCAGCAAGACGTGTGAGGTTTGCCAATAATAAATTTGCACACATTTACCATTTCTCATACATGCCCATCAAATACATAATTTAATAAGAAACAGTATTAGGTGAAGAGTATAAATTATGACGCTCCTTGTCGTGTAGACCTAATTTTCTCTAGTCTTGCGGTATTAAATATGAAAGTTGTGTCAAGGAATCATGAAGGATAGTTAGCCCTGTTAACGTAGCGACACAGCTTGAGTTCGGCTCCCTACGCGAGTGTACCTCAAACCCTTATTTCACCCAAAGTCGTAACTATTTGGCAATGCAGTTTATTTTATGGGCATTATTACGTTATATGTATTGTTATTATATATTATTATATTGTCGCGTATCGGGCGTATATCGCGACAAATAAATTCTCGATGTATTCGATGTAGCGAGTTTTATNAACGTGGAAATGGTGGAGTTCCCGCAGCGACAAATCAAAGCAACAAATTGTTGTTGAGTAACAACGGATGAGACGAAACACGTCACCGATGTATTCTATAAGAAGCGCTCCCGTAACAACGGACTGTCTGAACGGTCTGAACAGCGGTAACGGAACCGTGAGGAATGGTGTCCGGTATCCAGTCCGAATAACCCCTATATAAGCAGAGCTTACGGCACGTACAGAATATGGAGTATTGAGTATTGGACCAGAAGTCAGGTGATACTGCAAGCGATATTAATTGTACGGTGTGTAAGAGTGAATGTTCAATAAAGATTCGCCAAATCCGAGACCCACGTGAAGTTATTTGTCGCGTGACACACCCAGCACGTGACAGTATGTTATGCAATGGCAGTATAGGTGGCAAAGACATGTAGATATTGGTAGTCAAGAATCGATAGTTATGAAATATAAATAAAAAATTAGCTACAAATTTAATAAGTGGAACCTGGGCCCCGCAAAGGCAAAGGTCTCATTTTTCTGTCAGTGCCATGAATGGCATTGTCTCTGAAAATAACAAATTGACTGTGTGTGTCACATGTTATCTTCAGCAAAAGATTTCTACGTCTAACGAATTTAAGCACCTGTAAGGAATTACACGGATTTTCTATTTAGATTAATAAGTTGAAACGAATAATGGATAGCAGCAGTTGGAGAGGGAATGTCAGTGACTTGAATTATATTGGGTCAGTTAACATTGTTTTGGCGCAGAAGTACTGAAAGAGGTCATATGGAAAGAAGATTTTGGAGTCTTCAGTAAAATGTGGTATTATATATGAGTATTATGACAGGAGTCTGTGCAGTGGGTATTGTTTAACCTTTGGATTTCAGTGTCATTCCTGATCAGGCCTTTGCACCTTCATTGCTAACAGAGTAAGAACATGGTCAGAACAAAGATCCTGCTCAACCTGACATCTTTGGTGAGGGGACCAAACACAAGAAAACCNCCCCCCCAAGGAATCGAATGTTTAGTGACAAATAAGATCTAAAAGTTTGTGACGATGGTACATTGGTACAAATATTATGTTTTTGGACATTACCCATCGTCCTGTACTGTTTATTTTTCAAAACACACGTTTTGGAGACTGGATTCAGTGTCCATCTTCAGGCAAAACGTACGCAGGTGGGCCCAATCAATAGAGCTAGTTTACAAAGACAACCCATCCTACGGCTGGGATGGAAACGATTCCATCACTAAGCCGTGAGAGGGTGCATCCTCTCTCACTGAAAACAGTTTTTCATTGGTTTTGAAAACTCTAATATGTATACACACACACATATACATAACAGGCACATAGCAATTAATTATTGAGCACAGAGCAGTGATGTCACTGTTCAACGGTAAAACAGATGCATCCAAATAAAGGAAGCCATCACGAGCAATGAGAATTACAGAAGACACCAAATGAAAGACAGTTCTCCACCTGGAACAGATGGAATTTGTTGTTTACAAACTCTTCCACACTTGAGAAATGCATGCATGGAGAATATATTGGGATTACTGTTGGAGATAAAGGCATCCATTTTATATGTCCAGGTTGTGAATATTTAGATTAATACGCTCTGTGACATTTTCTTCAAATACGATTTCAGTTCTTGAAATAATGATTTTTTCTTGTTCACTAAGAGTATCCTTCATCTGTGCTTTCTTTAATATTTGAATAAAAGTTAATTTGATTCCTTGTATTAACTTCATGTTTTATATGTGGCTTTGTTTGAAACATGTGTTCCTAATAAGGCCAAATGACCATACCATAACACAGGTGGTTAGTCACCAGCTTCCCACCACATTGACCCAGATTGGATCCCAAATTAGGTCATGTGGTATTTGTGGTGGAAGAAGCGGCACTGGGGTGGGTTTTCTCTGAGTACTTTGGTTCCCCCTTCAGTTATCATCCCACCAACTGCTCCACATTCATTACTCATCCTAACATCGATGCTATGTAGTCTCAATGCTGATAGTGCTGTGAATAATCAGCTTAAAAGAATAAGTCCAGATTATGCTTCTTTCCTATTTTAATTTTTGCTTGTTAAGCAAACAGACATTTTTAACATTAACATTTTCCAATCTATTTCAAGGAAATAGCGGCTCCGGTCTAGAAAACCGAAATTAGCGGCCATGGGGATTTGTTGTGCTGACCATGCGACACCCTCTATCCACAAAAGTTGGCTCTAAACTTCGCTGACAAGTGGCAGTCGCTCGGTCGGTATGGTTTGCTTGCGGACTGAAAGCATGAAGTGAATATATACCTCAGAGCAGTAACTGGTATGCATTTCAGAAATTTCTTCCAACACAGAGCCATACAAATATTGGCATTATGTGGCAACACTTAGAACTGGTCCTTCTTCCATGAATAATTTTGGCTTCATTAGTGCCCTGACTTCTGTTAATGCATAGTTAACAAGCAGCATACTGAAATGTTACCATGAAATTATGAAACAAAAATGTCTTTCTGAAAATCCTAAAATGCTAGCAGGAAAATGCTGATATTGTTTGTCAGAAAAATAGTTTTAATTTCATATCTTATTGTTTCTGTTGCAGAAAACTTGGTTTGGACCTAGTACCCCGAATTGGTGCCCATATGGTTGATCCAGATACCATGAGTGTAGTTGAATTGTACCATGTGGTAAGTTGATGCATGAATATCCATGGGTTCCATTTGGAGTTAGGCCAAAAACATACCCCAGAGGTTGAAATGAATCTTGGCTGATAGGCTGAGAGTTCTTGTCTGTGTGCTATGGAATCTTATGTTTCATGACTGGTCCAACAAAGCTCATCATTGTATCAACTTCAATCAGATCTAGATAGAGTGACCATGAAGTTACTCACCTCCTCCTTCCCATCATCATTATCACCGTCATAGATTATGCAACATATTTCCTCGAAACTCTCATTCTACCGTTTCTTGGCCTTTCTCTTATTCTTTGTTCTGTAGATTTATAATTTTAGCTACCTGTCTCCCCTCATTCTATCAGATTGATCTTTATTTCCCTTTCTGTGTGTAGTTCTGTCTTTGAATGTACTGCTAACCTGAAGTTTCTTCCATTCTTTGTTGTTTATATGTTATCTACTATGTATGTTGAACTTTTGTTTTTGCTGTTTTTGTTTTTATGTCTCTTTGCCCCATATCCTTGTTTCACTATCATATCTTACCACTTGTTTAACTATTATAATGTATAATTTCGAATATATACTCATTGATATTATTTTACCAAAGTATCCATAAGATATTATTCCCCTTATACATATAAATCTTTGCTTTTATTTTGCAAATATCTCTCACTCTACGGAATTTCCTATATACTGTATCTGAATTCTAGTTCTAGTTCTCTGTGGTATGTCAACTCAAACTGTTGTTCACCATACTAGTTCTTTCCCTTGAATGCTTTCAGTGCTCTGCATTAGATATTTCACATAGAACCACTGACCTGTGTAGGCTGGATTTAAGTCATATATGAGATCAGCAAAAGAAATATCTTCCACCACTCACAACAATTAAAGCTAACTTTGTTTTTGATTGTCAACAACAAAAATTATACTGTGCCATGAAACTACATCAGAGAAAGGTTATGTAAATAGAATCAGCATGGGTTGTTAATTTGTATGAATAAAGATTCTTTTTAAATCATCTTCTGTGTCTGTTTATAATACATAATCATCTAATTTTATACAATAGATGTGTTTAGGTCAGTCGGTATAGTGACTAGGCTAGAGGCTGGATTTCTGGAGGATCAAAGTCCAATTTCCAGCATGGGTAGAGATTTTTCTCCTCACTGTTGGACTCAGACTGACCCTGGTGCCCAGCCAGCCTCCTATCCACTGTGTCCCAGAGACCTCTTTTCTAGGATATGGCAAGCTAAGGTTTCCGTCAATACAACAAACGCGGTTTTGCAATCAGTCATACTTAGATTGAATTTTATTTTCTACTGCTACATGTTTCAGTTCTCATGGCACCATCAGGCAGTATTGTTATCATATGGCTAAAGGTATTGAACTCCTCAATATGCATCCATATTTAGTGCAACGTGTCCATGATATAAAGTTATGCCTCAGTTAGAATGTAAGAATTACAATATTGACCTTCTCAAAATGTTAAGAGTATATAAAGAATCTGTATTAAAATTGTATTGAAGGTATTAGCATGTACTGTTCATCAAAGATGATTAATATGTTGGAACAATATAATATTATGAAATAAAGCCTTGAAAATAAAATTGAAATTTATACAGTTAAAAAATGTTAAAATTATTAGGTCAGTTATTAAGACTGGAATATGTTGTTAACAATTTTTCATGTAATCTTCAAAGTTTTCAGTGTTGTGTGGATAATTATGGAAAGCCACGTTGTTGAGCATCTCTCAAGGTGGATGTTATTATGCCTGAGGTTGTGCTGTAGTAATGTATTTTGGATATTATTGTTATGAGCTGTTACAGTGTATTAATATTCATGCAGTATATGTCTTGGGTATAGGTTGTAAGATATATCTGTCATTAATGTATATGTGTGTCCTTTCTTTATGGACATTGTGTATGTTATAGCTTGGTTCAACATTTGTTGTGTTGACGGAAACCTTAGCTTGCCACATATTAGTGACACACAACAGCATGCACATCATGAAAAAGAAATCTTCTGTAAGGTTAAATTGGCCAGGGTATGAAGCTGACCATTCACCTCCACTCCATATATTTTCATGGCATTGTACTGAATTATGTACAGGGACAACTTTGTCTCTTTTATTCTCAGTTATATTTTTTCTTTCTTGTGTTTTATTCATTCTCTTGTTCTCTTTACATGTTACTTTAAATATTTTGGTTAGGAATACGTTAACACATCCATTTGACCATACTGTATAAAAATTAACACTTTTTGGCACTTTTTTTACTTTGAAAGAGTGAATTACTGATTACAGGAAGGTAAGTTCCATTATTGTTCTGTAGAATGGTCACTGAATGTATATTTGGAATATACTCTTGATTTAAAGTATATGTACCTACTATGTAGTGTCCAAGGCATATAATGTTGTATTATCATGTTTTCTCTTTTCTTTTCAGCATGTTCAGAGCACTGAAAATTCACAAGGGGCCTCAGTGAGTATATTAACACTTTAATTTGGTATAAAATGACACTCAAACTTTCTGACATCTAATTTATTATGTACATACACACACACACACACACACACACACATATATATATATATCCCATGTACTTAAATAGTATGCAGTGAAGCTGTGAAGTGGAAAAATGTTCTTAAATGGAGTACACATGCTTCTCACATGCATTCTTTTCAAATGTTAATTCCACTGTGGTTTTACTGTACATACATGTATTTCTGAATGCAAGTATGTTTTATGAAAATTCTAAGAATTGATATCATCGAGGAACATACCAGTCAATTATTGACCGCTGACTGCCTAATGTTAGGCATGAGATGCATTGTTTAGAAGCCCTGGTTCTTCTTGCCTGAATCTGGTGTCTTAGAAGATCAGAGAAAGGAATGTGTTGTACCATCTGTCAGCAATTAAAACCATTCCAGCTTCTCAGCAATGGAGATTATATTACCATGAGTGAGTGACTAGACACGAGGCTCAGATTGATTATTGAATTTATTGAATACTTATTACTCTTAACTACAGATAGTTACAACATTTCTGCTAGTCTGCACAATCTAAAAATTACTACAGCACATTTCAAGGCTTTCTTCATGTACTTGTTGCTTGGTTATGGCCTCCAGTAACAGGCCTTAATGTTTTCATGCATAATGGCTCTCTTTTCATAGCTTTATCATGGACTGATAAGAAAACACTGTCCCCAGCAGTTCCTGTACTGTTGTGTACAGAAATATGTTTTAACAAGCCATCTCGTAGCAATGGATTCCTCTGCGATGCTTCTCTGGATCCAAAATTCTGACTTTTAGCACCATGTCACAGTATGTTATCATGGAAAAATATGAATGATCAGAAAGTGTTTGATAGATAGGAAAACCAGCATGGAAAAGATTTAAGTAATACAAAAGAGAGTATTCATAAAGGGAATACTTAGTAGATGGAGCATGACCACAGGAGTCCTCAAGAAAAACATCTATCATAATCTCACATCACTGTTATTGTCTCTTATACGTTTTTTTTTTCTTGCAGGCACGAGGCACAATGAAACGTAAGGAAGCACAAAAAATTCTCACACACCATCTCTATTTCTGCATGCGAGACTTTGGGCACCATATTGGAGAAGACACAGAGATCTACTTTTCTTTGTATGATAGTAAGAAAGCCAAATATATAAGGTAAGACTGCTAGTTCTACATTTGTGAATATGCATGATGACAGTAATTGGGCAGGGAATATTAGATTTGTTTATAACCTCACACCGTATGAATCTCACATATTGGATTACATGATTCATCAGCTTTGTCTTCTATCTAAACTGTTCCCATGGTTGCTGCGTTATTATTGCAGATTTAATAGAAAGAGTGCCATAATAGAAGCTGGATGCTTTATAAACACCAGTATGCACACCTTTCAGACCCTCTGTGCGAAACCAGAAATATTATATGTGGAGTGGTTGTTTGTTCATTCCACCTCACAAATTAGCTCAGCTGCCTTATTGACATTGTTGATGGTAAGGGAGTTAAAGAGTTACAAAGTAGGTATGATATGGTGTGATGCTTATACTAAGTTTTATGATGGCAAGTCAGCTATTACCTATAATATTTGTCATTATTTTTGTCGTAGGGCAGGTAGATAAAGACATGTGGCTTCATAGTAGTTTAACCGCACACGCGTATCTAGATGGAGTACACTGACCTGGATCGGAGACTATCTAGAAGTGCGCTGTAGATCTGGTAGTCTAGTTGGCGGCTACGTCCTTCTTGATAACGCCTCCGCGAATGGAATATCTCAGGGTTTATTGGGCTAGTTGATAAGAGGTGTTATCATTGAATGTTTTAAAGCTTTCGGGTAGAGTCATGGATTCTTTCCTCAGGGACGTTTAGGGCCTCGCTTCAAAGGGTTGGAAGGAGATGTCCTGGATTCGACTCTCCGTGTTAGCGGAGTCAGGTACAGTAACGCACTGTTTACTGGGTTTAAGTTTTGCACAACTTAATTTATTACACTTAAAAAATGCAGTCGCACTGGTTAAGATGTTTACGACACTGACACTGGCATCGTGTTGATCGCTTATTAGCGATCGTAGAACTATATCTTATATACATGAACTGGTTTACACTGTTGCACTGTTAGTTAGCTTGTAGCTAGGGATCACTTCTTTAGAACGTTATGTAGATTCGAGCTTATACTCATAGCTTGTTACACTTCGAAGAATTAAAAGAACGTTTAGTTTACAT